CCCGAGACACCAGACATCCCGTACTTGTTCCCGAGTGCCCTGCTGATCTGCAGCGCAGGCTGCGATCGCATCCAAAGTTTGTGAGGATCCCACTTCTCACGTGATACCACCTCTCATACCCACACCTCCCATGATCCTTGCAGTAGTTCCTGTGAGATGGGCAGAGCCTGGCATTAGCCCCACATCACACATGGAGAAACACATCAGTGGGTTCCAAGGGCACACTCGGACTGGATGTGGAGCACCACATGGCTTGCAGTGCCCTAAGTCTCACATTTTTATCTAGAATACCCTGGGCTGAGGGAAAGGCAGGATTCTATGCCAAGGGCTGGTCCAGGTCTCACCAAAGTGCCCACCCTCAGCCCTGATGAAGGGCCTAGGTAAAGGGACAGGCTGGCAGGGAGAGAATTTGGGAGACTGAAGGTGGGGGACCAGCTTCTCTTCAGGCAGCCTCCTGTGGCCCACATGCTTGACTATCCACAAATTTAAATTAAAATTGCTCAAGGGAAACTTGCTGCCTAAAAAGTCTCTGGACAGATCCTGACCTCACAGGAGTGACTTTTGCTATAAGTCCTGCCTCCACATTTATTTTATGAAATCTGGACTTTCATCTACCTGGCTATATGTAGAGGAACCTGACTCTAGTTTCTCTTCCCATCACATTGTTCCTTCTGTCATCCCATGTGTCCGGGCCAGGGGAGCTAGGTATCATACTAGGGTACAGACACAAGTCCTAGAGTGAGGGCTGGGCCTGTTTCCTTGCTCCACAGTTCCCCATGCTGCATGGGCGAATATCAGTGTCAAGACCCATCCTCACTGAGCACCAGACCCCGCCCAAATGAAACCTAGGCCCCAGCTTCAGGGTGGAGGGCTACAAAATCATCAAATGTGTGTGTGTATGTGTGTGTACATGTGTGCGAATAAGCGAATGCTTGGGCCTGGGTCTGTGACCCTAGTTCCGATTGGAATGCTAGAGCCATTCCATGAAAAGCAAAAATAGAACCTGTGCTTGCTGGTCTAAGATCAAACCTCAGAATGGTGGTTTGAAGGATTTTTTCTTCAAAATAAAGCTTGAAGGTGAATCCTCAATAGGCAAGACAGATGAAAACAGAGTTGTTCTGGTGGAAGTGGGAATGGGGGAAGGGATGGAGACCTATCCTATGCCTCCACCCCTCTCTTCCCACTTTAGCAGCCCCTGACAAAGTTCTGTGGAACACCAGGGGTTCCACAGAACCTGGTTTGAAAACCACTGTGTCAGAGTGTCTACAGATCATGGGTCCTGGGGGACCTGTGCTTTGACTTCCCTTTCAGGGTGAAGAGTTGGGAGAGAGTGATGGGGGGAGGATGCTCCCCCTTCAACAGGCCTCTCTTTGAAGCCACTGGGCAGTGACCCTGCAGGGGAGTGTCGGAGGGGGAAATCCTTCCCCAACAGGCAGGCCATTTCAGTCCTGGAGAGAGGACAGAGTGATGGAGCTGCCGGGCCAAGATGCAGTCCCAATGCAGGCTTATGCACAAGGGTGGAGGGGCTCTGATTTGGTCCTTGTTGACTTTAAAAAGAAAATCATCAGAACAGGTATAGGCCTATGTCCATGAGACCCTAAAAGAGTTCAAGATTGGGGCCTAATGCCTTCCTCCGGGAGGGGTAGAGAATGTCCAGTCCCCAGTCGCTGGCAGGAGGAAGCTGCCTTTGTGGGTTGCTGAAACCACTGGGGGACAGGTCAGCTGGGGTCAGCCCTCAGTGACGAGGCCTGGGTTTTCTCTGAGCCCAAATACCTCCCAAGTATCATCAAGAAACATTGTCAGCTCTAGTTGACCCTGGAGAGGGCCTTGTACTTTGAAGGGAAGGCAATTTCTATTCTACTTCACCCTTGGGTTCTTTGATGGAGCACTGCTTCAGGGCCTGGGGGAGGGGGAGTGTCTCTCTAACCTGGGATCAGAGTCAAGGTTTTCTGGCCTCTGTGGGTCTGAGAGATGGAAGATGTAGGTGACACCAAGCCTGGGAGAGCCCAAGATGACCCCAGTCCCAACTACTGACAATACCCATGTCTGTCTATCCCGACTGCTGGGGGCATTATCTGTGGGGATGGCATTCCTGAATAGTGTCTCAGTTTCCCCCTCAGCTGGGTCCCAAAGCCGACCTGACTACATCTTATTCTGTTGACACCTGCCTAAGTGAGAAGGGGGCAAGAGATGACCAGTGGGAGGAGGGCTCGGCCCACAGCAAACTTCCTGTGAGACCTCAGGCCACTCCCCCGTGGTGGCAGGGCCAAGGCCCTTGCAGCCATTTGCAATGTACTGGGCTGAATTTCATCTCTACTGACTTCCACCCATCTGGGCCTCACAATCCTTGAGTCAAGTGGGGAAGGAACTGCTGTCTCATTTTATAGTCAGGGAACCCCAGTCCAAGAGGTTGAGCACCTTGCTCAAGGCTACTCAGCTGGCTAATGATGGTCAGAACTGAAAGGTATTGTGGACTGCCAGGCCAGCGTACTTCTCACTGCACCCTGTGGGAAACAGTTTGTCAGCGACCCCCCAGCTGAAGCAATACCCCACGTGAGCTGAGGGGGCCGTGGAGTCGAGCCAAACCACCCAGTCCTTAGTTCCACTGGGACTGACCCTTCTTATAGCTGGAATGCTGAGGAGTCCAGCTGACCCTCTGCCTGGGGGTCTTCACTCAGGGCCATGGCCTTCTGGCCTAGACTGCTACCTATATGCCACCCCCATGGCCCACTGGGAAGTCCCAGTGTGGCACTACATGGTCTGCACAGGCCCTAAATGTGTGCACAGAAGGAACTGACTCTGTGGGTTGGTGTCTGGGGCCCAGTGGGGATCCCTAACCCCCAGTTTCACTCCAAGGTCTCACGTGACTCAGATGGAGAGGGGCCCCGCAGAGAAGGACTCAGTCATGTTTGGGCGCTGCAGGGGGAGTGGAGCCACCAGAAGCTTGGAGAGATGATCTGAGCCTTTCTTTCAGGAAGAGGCCAGAGGAAACACTGGTCTGAGCGGCAGCCCATGGCTATGCAGGAGGGCACCAGCCCAGGGGCAAGTGGGCTAAACTCCAGCCTGTGACCATTCACAAAACTGTACATTCTAACTTGGACTGAGCCCACCTGGAGGGCACCATTTCTAACTCACATCAAGGCACTAAATGGACTAGCAGCAGCCATGGAGCTCTGAATAAAATGGCCCGGTTACTTTTCCCTGACCATGAGCTTCCTGAGGACAGGGGCTGGGACTGACCCATCTCTGTGTCTCCAGTGCTCAGCACTGAGAAATTAAGTTATCAGCCAAGGATGGTTAAACCAAATTCAAATGAACTTGACCACTGCCTTTCTGCAGTCCTGCACTCAAAGAGTAAAAGGCTAGATGGGTCTATGAGGTTTCCTGCAGCTGGAGAAATTTCAGGTAAACACTGGGAGATAAAACCAAAAGGGTGAACGAGATGTTGAAGTGGAAGCTCAAGAAACCAGTGGTAAGTCTTTTGCGTGCACAGGTTAGGGCTGGAGGAGGTGGTGTGTAGGGGAATGATGATCCCGAATCTTAAAGGGTCTTATACCAGCCCCCGAGGTTACAGAGGAAGACACTGGAGACCATATGCTTGTGGTACATTGTTCCAGCATTTCATCAGTTCTGCAGCTGCCCAGTGAGGTGCACACTGCCCAGCAAGCTCTAGTAGGGCTGGATGCCCAGGGTACCTGCAGCTGGGCCCCCACGTCTGGCTATGGGGGTGTACTGTCCTGAGCTAACTTGATTCTCACCTGGGTAGGGATCCCTAGGGTTGAGTCTTTATGAGATTCAGAATGAAGGGCTAGAGTGCAGTGACAAGCATGGCAACTGGGTAATCTCACCATGGAAAATGGTTGCCCAGTCGACCCAGGAGGAACTGGACTGAAATGTATTGACATTCAACTTGTATGATAAAATTTTGTTGTCTCCCTTCAGGCAAGTACAGGCTAGAGATAGAAGGAAGCAGGAATTGAGCAGAGAGCCTCTTGCTCCATAAATCAATATACTTTGCTCGGGTATAAGATAAACCTCAGGTGTCTGCATCCACAGGGGTTGTGAGTTATTGGAGGCCCTATCACAAGCACCGCTCCACCCCCCAAAGGCTCTGTCCTTTTGTAATACTCAGGCCCCAGGGCCCAGCAGCTCATGCTAGCTATGGCCATACCTTGACATCAGGAAACCCTCCAGAGGCCCAGGAAGGGCCCTTCCCAGGCCCGGGGTGGGGAAGTAGTAGGAGCTCTTTATGGTCCTGCCACCTCCAGGGTTTAATGAGTCCCCTCTGGAAGCAGCCAGAACAGAGTCAGTGGCTCTGGCTCCCCCCACTGAAGCAGAAACTTCAATGTTCACAAATCCTTGGAGACCAGAGCTGGGAGGGGCCTATGTGATCATCTGGCCAAACCTCTTGGTTTTCCAGGTGAAGAACTGAGGCCCAGAAAGGTAAGGGAATTTGCCCAAGGCCACACAGTAAATGAGCAGTAAAGGCCAGACAACAGAGATCTTTGAACACGTTCTACCGCATCATCTGCCTGCCCCGTTGCTCTGGAAATACCTCAGGTGTCAATCACACAAACGCTAGCCAATGGGTGCTGGGTCTCCAAGACACTGGGAGCTACTGGGGGGGGGGGG